TTTCACCTATGGATTTCAGAATGACATGTCACATCTTAGCCCTTTTCTATGTGGGGCAACCCTAAAAAAATGAAGAGCAAGTGTGAAAATAATGGTAATTTCTCAAAAAAAACCAACAAGTTAGGATTGGGCCTGGAATTTAAGTTTCAAGGGTCTTTTCCAAGAGACATGACAATCCTTCTATCAAATGTAGATGGAAATATATCTAGTTTATCTATAAATTCTATATATGCAACAAGAAATTATTTAGCCTTTTATGCATTAGCTTGAACTAATTTGATGTTTAATCAAAACAAAGCAAAACAAACGAAAAATTGTATGCTATATATCTTTTGTAACAGGAAGACCGTGCTTCATGGAGGCTCACGCATTCCTCATCCCTTTGGAATAAGCTTGTTTGAAGACAGTGTATTCTTTACAGATTGGACAAAGATGGCGGTAATGAAGGCAAACAAATTCTCTGAGACCAACCCACAAGTGTTCTACCAGTCTTCCCTGAGGCCCTTTGGAGTGATTGTTTTCCACTCCCTCAGGCAGCCCCATGGTAAGCCCCACAGCAATAGACGCTGTTAGGCACTGGCCTTGGAAGAAAGGTTTTCTCAAAGCTATGAAGTTAATAATGGGGGATCTCATGAGATTTGGGTGGTATTCTCACATATATGAATGGTTACCTAGAGAGTTAAATCTTCTGAAATTGACTCTGCGGGGAACTTAGAGACTAATTTAACAGATATTTATTGTCACTGTAATGTGCCAGATCCTGTCTAGATCCTTGGGTGATAGCGGGAAACAAACCAAACCAAAATAACTACCTTCATTCTACTGGGGGGAATCTTATAATGCAACCCTCTGATATTACAGTTGAGGAAACCGAGTCCCAGAAGAAGATAATGACATGCCTAAGTATTGTCAGAGCCATTTTCCCCTTCTGCCCTGTTGTACATGTAAGACACCTGTCCTTTGGTTTGCATTAGGTTTGACACAGGCAAATTGGATTTGGTGACTCTGGTCACTATGTAAGAAAAAAGAAATAAGTATTTCCTTGTATATCAATTAAAAGAAATATGAAAAATTAGATTATAATTATAGAAAGCTTAATATTAGTGAACAGTCATTCAGAGAATGACATTTCACTCAGAAACTCTTTGTGTTAAGTGACGGATCTCAAATCGCCCCTAAACCGCCACTCTTGCCACTTTGAGTCAGATCCCACCTGGCTGAAGGAGAAAGACTATAATTAGGTTGATTTTTTTAAAAAAAGAAAACATCTATTAGAACCAAAACATTCAGATGAATATCCTTCAATGTAGTTCTCCTTGGAAAACATACACTTCATATGAAAATACATGCTGTATCTGAAAACATTTCCGAAATTCCTATTTGGAATAGTCAGTGCATGAGCCCTTGACCAAAGATATTGTCCAATTTTATCATTCAGCTTATTTCTATTATTTGCCTCAGAGTGATATCTGGCTGCTGTTTTTCCAAATCAATTCACCTGAGATGATAGACTATTTTAAGGAGTAAGTCAAAGGCCAAGAAGATAATTTCAAAAGCACATAAAACATTTTTAGCTGTGGCAGATTTGTGTACAATGAGCTTCCCAAGGTCCCTGTGTTTGAGGGCGGTTTTTGGAAGTGTAAACGGGTTTGTGTTGCAAACTATGGTTTTGGAGTCAGATCTGAATTTAGTATAGCTGGTGGGCCACCGAATAATCTTGGGCAAGTTGTTCTATCCTTTGGAGACTTGATTTCCTCTTCTGTGGAATTGGGGTACTACTACTTACCTTTTAGAGTCATTGATTGTAAGTTGGTTTACTTATAGAGTAAGCATCCAGTGAATGATAGTTAATACTAGTATCTTGTGAATGGTAAAATAACACGGTATTTTTTTTTAGGTGGGGCGGGGGGGGGGGAGCAGTTATTTTCCAATCATTGAGGCTAGCAGACACAATTATTGGGGAAAAGGGACCTCCCAAATTATCCAGTTGCAGGAATCTTTTTTTTTTTCTCTTTTTTGCCACCATTAGTTTGAGAGTGTGAAATTGAGAGGGCCAGTGCATCTACCTAGTAGAGATGAGTGTGTATGGTAGCAACCCGTAGCACTGTCTCTGAATTTTAAACCCCTTATTCTGTTTCACCTACAGGGCTCAAAAGTGGCTTCATGTGTCTGGGATAATTACACATTTCTAACTGAGATTTTACCCTGTGCATTTTTTTCCTCCAGCCAGCAATCCTTGTGGAGATAACAATGGAGGCTGTGAACAGGTCTGTGTCCTCAGCCACAGAACCGACAATGATGGCCTGGGTTACCGCTGCAAATGCACCTTTGGCTTCAACCTGGATGTGGATGGCCACCGCTGTGTTGGTAAGAAGTTGGTTTGGACTGTCTTTCGGGAAGGTGGCACGGCGTTATGTGCTGCTCTTGGACCCGGGCCATCTCAGTAGGCATCTCTCCCCTTTATTCACAGAGCTGTGTTTGAGCAACATGTCTATCTCTTGGGATTCACCTTTAATTCCACATCTAGGGTTTCCTGGGGTTCCTTTTCTCTTTTGTCTCCTTCCCAAAATCTTTGTCTACCTTTTTAACTATGCTTTTGAAATCCCATAGGATTTCATTTTTTCTTTTAAAAAAAATTGATTTCAGAGAGGAAGAGAGAGATAGAAACATCATTGATGAGAGAGAATCATTGATCAGCTGCCTCCTGCACTCCCCTACAGGGGATCGAGCCCACAACCCAGGCATGTGCCCTGACAGGGAATAGAACCATGACCTCCAGGTTCATAGGTCGATGATCAACCACTGAGCCATGACAACTGGGCTGCAGGTTTATTTTTTAAGTTTATTTCAGAAGTATAAGATGTGCTTTATGGATGTAGAAGTAATTTGTATGGAATTCAGTGAGGGTAAGAATCATGCTGTGGCTGACCACGCTGTGTCCTTCCTCCTATAGCTGTTAAGCAATTCCTGATCTTTTCATCGGAAGTGGCTGTTCGAGGGATCCCATTCACCATCTCTACCCAGGAAGATGTCATAGTTCCAGTGACAGGAAATCCTTCTTTCTTTGTTGGAATTGATTTTGATGCCCAGGAGAAAACACTCTTTTTTTCAGATACATCAGTAGACATGATTTATAAACAAAAGATCGATGGCACAGGTGAGAATTCTGTTTTCAGTAATAATGCTAATAAATATAATTTGCTTAGGAGAATTTTGCATTCACTTCTTAAGCAGGATCCTTTACTGTAAGACCTTCAATCATGTCTTTGATTGCCATCTATGTTGGAATTATAAATCAGTGTGGGGAGACTTCTGATAGAGCATTTACTGAATGTTTTCCCCCTAACCTGGGGAATGAGGGCAAGGTCTGGGAAGGCTTCTTCTTGCAGGTGCTGATAAAAATCTCCACCCAAGCTTTCTGAGGTTCAGATTCATAATGCCAATTGCCTTTTGGGCATCCCACAACCACCTGAAAAACAATGTATCTACACAGACACCTTAATCCCATTTCTCACATACCTCCTGCCTCAGGAACATGACCACTTCACCTTTTCCATCCTCTGCCTATTCCTTCCACTCTTTTAGCTTCTCTCATTAACTCATAAACCTCCAGCCATGCTCTGTGAAATATTCTCTC